GCGGTAAACCTATGCGATTATGCGGTACCGTTGCGGCAGGTTTGGCACATACGCACGGTTCACTTTTGCGTTAAATTTGGAGTTATTGCTGCTGTACGTGGGATGTTGACGGCTTCAACTCTGTAATAATGGGGTTTCCCAACAATGACGTCTGAAAATCACCTGCGGCACAGCTGCGTTTAACCGGACAGAAAGTCCCGAGACTTATGGTCCGGTGAAACGTAACAGGGAAATATAGCAACGCACCGCAACAGCATGTATGTGTCATGTGAAATGCATAGCCTTGGTTGTTTCGATCCGGTGAAACGCTGCGGTGAAATGAACGCATCACATCGTCGCACCGGACCACGAACCGCGTGTATGTGTCTTTAGCTTTACGCCGACAGCTATGTTAACGGATAGGGGGATTGACAAGTGGGGTGCAATACGATTACTATACGAATTACTCACCCGCATACACCATTGTCTTAGATGAACCTGAAACGCAATGATAAAAATTAAAAATATGAACTTAAATTTGTGTAAGGAAAATACCAGTTATCGGCTGGAGTCTTAATGCTGACTATATATATTCCAACAGGCGAGCGAAATCGTCGAAGGTCGACGAACACGGGCGAATATTAATTTTGAAGTGTGAACTTAGATCAATCGAGAAAAATTAAAGATTTCCTCACTAAGGACAAAGATATTTCTAATACTAAAACTATCATAGAAACAAACATTATCATAACATTACTGATTGTAAGTTTACATTAAAGTGATTGTAAAGAGGTTTTCTAAATTTTATATGTGTATCGGGGATACTGATAACATCGACTAGCACCATTCCAATTTTCAATCAGACATCTGTGGTTCTAGCAATTCCACTAAAACTAAAGCGTTCACCCCTCAAAGGTCTTATGAGATACAGGCAAATTTCGCGGGGGTGAAACACATAGTTTTAGTTGAATTGCAGGAACCACAGACGCCTGATTGAAAATGGCGCAAATTGATGTTATCAGTGTCCTCGATACGCATATCAACACCAAAATATGAAAATTAGAATATATTACCGATATATAATAAAATAACAACATATAGTAGAAAAACTGAGCGGGCCATCTCCATTTTGAGACCCGTTTCTGGTACAAAACCCCTCGCTATTCGAAATGTCTTCTAACTGAGCGACTCTATTGCGCTTCTTCAAGGTGATTAAACGGTTGTTTTGGGGTACCTTGGCAACTGGGTAACAAAACGTAAAATAATATGGTGAAATATTGAAATTTGAGTCCGAAAATAGCTATGGGGTAATATTCTATTTGAAAATTCACTAAGAACTATACCTATAGCTTATGTTCACGTCTAAATTCATATAACAGTAGGATGTAAAACTCTAATCTATTTTATTAGTTTAATAAAGTGCAGAACAGTAGGATGTAAAACTCTATTTCATTTCATTAGTCTAATTAAGTATAGAACAGTAGGATGTAAAACTCTATTTCATTTCATTAGTTCAATAAGGTACAGAACAGTAGGATATAAAACTCCATTTCATTTCATTAGTCTAATTAAGTATAGAACAGTAGGATGTAAAACTCTATTTCATTTCATTAGTCTAATTAAGTATAGAACAGTAGGATGTAAAACTCTATTTCATTTCATTAGTTTAATAAGATACAGAACAGTAGGATATAAAACTCCATTTCATTTCATTAGCCTAATAAGATACAGAACAATAGGATATAAAACACCATTTCATTTCATCAGTTCAATAACATACAGAACAGTAGGATATAAAACTCTATTTCATTTCATTAGTTCAATAAGATACAGAACAATAGGATGTAAAACTCCATTTTATTTCATTAGCTAAATAAGGTACAGAACAGCAGGATATAAAACACCATTTCATTTCATTAGTTCAATAAGATACAGAACAGTAGGATGTACAACTCTATTTCATTTCAGTAGTCTAATATGGTATAGAATAGTAGGATATAAAACTCCATTTTATTTCATTAGCTCAATAAAGTACAGAACAGTGGGATAGGCTGAACGCAAAGTTCGTTTGACATTAAACGTGTACAGATTATGCAAGCTTTAAGATTGAGGCGTGTATAAACCTATATATTATACTCTCAACAAAAGCTCTTTTTCTTGGATTATAAAATTGTCAACTTCTGTCATGTCGAAACATATATTGGAATTTGATTCAACGACCACTTACAAACGATTCAAGGGTTTGCGTCTTAATATTCTACGCTTGTTTAGTTATGGGAACGAAGAAATATCTGTCGAGGGAAATTTTGCCAGGCATGGGCGTGATTCTCTTTCTAGATTTCCAACTGTAGAAGGTTTTTAGGTCTAACATTTATAACCTGTAGCTCACGGGGTATATTGCCCCATTCGAACGACTAGACGCTTTTTTCATGTCAGCCCCTCCGACCTGCATCCCTGACGACGGCAAAACTGTTTGAAAAATCAGACGGTTTTATCTCGACCCTCGCTGCAATGTTAGGTTAAACAGATTTAAATTTGGCAGATGAGTTGTAGGCTACCACTGTCATACAATGTCTATATCTAATGCTTCACGGAATACATCTTTTGTTCGAGTCACAAAATCCCAGCGTGTAGGATAGGGAATAAATTTGATTGGCTAGTGATGTCATCAAACTGGCGAATGTTCAAGAGGCCCGTCTTTAGACCCTAACTAAAAATAAAAGCTAATTAAAACGGAAGTTTGGTCTAATTATAATTAAACCGAGATTCGTTCAATTTCAACTAGTAACTGCCTGTCGTAAAAATTCAGTTTCTGTCCGATTCTGTACCGATTCGTCTATAAACTATTTATAAGGTTTACGTATAACTTTTAAATTTGCTCTGTTTTTTAGTTGGCGTTGGAACAGATCAATCAAAATAGACACCAAAATGTAGACAACAATGTCTTCTCTGGATGTTTCAACAAACAAAACAGCTTTTTATAAGGCCGAATACCAAAACAAGTTTAAACTGTTTGATTAAAAACAAATTCAGTTTGATTAAGTAATAGTTATATATAGAACTCAATATCATAAATCTTATAATTTACAGAATTTTTAATAAATCTTAATATAGTTAAAGTGATACTTCTTCTTAAAATGAACATAAAATTTAAGTTCTCGAAATGGTCAATATGAGTATATATTCATTAGTGAACTTACCTGGTATCATAAAGTTACAACAGAATCCCTGTAAAATCTAGAAAATTAGAAAATTCATAAAACTAAGTAATTATTGAAAAACGCTTGATATTAAGCGTTTTCAATAGTTAATTGCATATTTATGGATAATTACTAAGTTTTTTGGATTTATCAGATTATATAAGGATCCTGTTATGTTATTTATGACACCAGGTATATCTACTGGCTCTTATTCACTAAGTTTAAAATTCTTAAATTTTATGTTAATTCTAATACGTAGTATCACTTTAAATTAAACTTTGCATACTTCCCCTTTAAACTTAAGACCCATTAATTTGTATATTAGGCTAATGGCGTCAGAGCTTTAGATTAAACGTTTAGATCCAATTTTTACTTCAAAAACGATCTTATATTACGGTAAACAAGGCAAGGCAATTTGAGCAATCTCGACAAAAACACAAAGAA